TGTATTTTATTCTCCACAGTGTTTAGGATAAAACACTTTTGTGTTTGTTAATAGGGTTTATTTTGTTTTGCAGTGCTTCTAATTTATCTCCCTATTTCCCAAGAAAGTGCTTTAAACTCATCCTGGATCTTGATCTGTTTTTTACTTTTAACTCTCCCTTTGATGTCATGACAATAATGGCCGTTACCCCTCAAGTTAAACTTTACTGGATATGGCTCTGGGCCTTCACATACTAGCTAGTAATATTGTAGCTAGACCAGTGATTCTCACCCAGGATGTCACAGGACATGGGGTGTGGTACAGTATTAGCACTGTTATGCATGCAAAAACAGGATTCACAAAATCAGATTTCAAATAGGAATCTATAGTATTAAAAATGCTCTGAACTGTTGTGGCCTGTTTGAGTTTTTCAAGGGAAAATTGCTCTGTTGTCCTTCTATAGGTAAAAAATGAATGAAAGCTAAGAGCTGGCATTTTCCAAGGGGTACCCCAAGTCTAACAAGGGATGTCTGGAGTCTAAAAAGGTTGAGAACCACTGAGCTAGACTATTACTACAACCTCAACACAGGTACACTAATACCAATCTCCATTTCTTTTTTTTTTTCTAATAAAAAAAAGTTTAAATAACATTAACATGAGGCTGGGGAGAAAGAGATTGATGTTTGTTTATATCAATAACAGCATATATTGTTGCAAAGTCCCTCAGATTAAGTGATTCTTTGTGCTGAAATCAGCGTGGTTCAGAAAAGGTTGGTGAACTGATTCTCTGGCTTGTTCTGTATTGGCTCCTGCAGTCTGCTCTAATGTATGCTGCTTGGCAACAGTCTGCAAAGGATCATATCTCTGTTGGGGATTGCCAGATCACACCACACTGCAGCCACTCCCCCTTCCCAATAAACCCCTTTCCTATAGCTGCATTTTCAGTTAGTGGCTCATATACTAACCTTGCCAGTTAGTATGTAGGTAAGTAAAAGGGAGCTGAGCAGCAGCAGCTGAGAGCTCATCTCTGTGAAGGAAATTCTGAGTGGGCCATAACAGGTGACTTTTGAAGCCTTTTCCACAACCAGAGCCACATACAAAAATTGGTGTACAGGAGAACGTGGCCCACCAGATGCATTCCACAAATACTGAACTCTGACAAAATATGTTTAGTTATGTTACAGTACTAAAAATGCTCTAATTTGGCAACAGTATCAAGGAAATATCTAGGTATACAAGGTAGAAATAACATTTGGTATCAGTCTGCCTAATGTTTATAACTGAATGAGAACATAATCAAACTGCATATGGTTATAGTAGGAGCCCTGAAATAGCACTCTTACTTACCATCTTTAAGTTTTTCTTCTCATTATGTAAGCAGCATGTAGTCATGGCTATGGACAAGTATAACAAGCACATCAATATGTAAGGATACCAATATAAGCTGAGAGGATGTAACTTTTACCTTTGTGTGATTCTGTAGTGATGCAAGTGTAGCAAAACTGCACCAATTGTATTAAAGTTAAGGAGATTTAGCTTATTGGCACTGCTATACAATGATGCAGATGTTGCAGCTACAGCATGACAGCCTAGATGTGTCTGAACAGCAGATCCACCTCCCTTTTTAAAAAGACTTAAATGTTCATTTGTCTATACCCTCTGAAGCTTTTGTATAGTTCCTTGTCTTGTGATAAACTGAAAGCTCATCAGCTGGAAATGACTAATGCCAGCTGATCACAGGACGATCATGAACCCTTAATGAGTTGCACACTAAGAAAAGGCAAATGCAAACTTAGGATGCATTATTTGAAACACTTCCAGTAGAGGTAAGGAACTATTAATGCACTTGTATCAGGCACCAATGAGACCTCACATGGGATATGGTGTAAAGTTCTAGTCACCCATGTTCAAGAGAGATCACTTCAAACTGGAACATGGGCAGAGACGGATTACCAGGACCATCTGGGGAATGAAGAACCTTTTTTTTCATATGACTAGGTTAAAACAGCTTGGTTTCTTTAGCCTAGCAAAGCAAACCCAAGAAAAGATAAGCTGTCTAAAAACATGGGGGGAGGGGAGGGGCAGCACAAAGCATGAATGCTGTGGAAAAGAACCATTAACTAAATGACAATGCTGGCACAAAAGCAAATGGATATAAACAGGCATTAATGAATTTAGGCTAGAGTTTAGAAAAAAAGTTTTCTGATCATTCAAGCAATGAAGCTCTGGACAGCCCTTCCCATGGGAGCAGTAGAGACTGAAAGGACAGAACCTAACCATCTTACAGGACAGTGATTCTCAACCAGGGTCCCTTGAGATCCTTTCAATGTTAGCACTGTCAGGAAAGCAAATGCAATTCACAACATAAACCCAGAGATTTCAAATAGAAATCTAGAGCATTAAAGAGCCTGACACACTGTGGTCATTCTGAGTTCTTTGCAACAAAACAATTGTTCTGTTATTTTCCTGTATTCAAAAACTGAGTGAAAACGAAGAACTGACATTTTCAGAGGGGTGCCTTGCATCTAGCAAGACTAAAAACCACAGTTATACAATATGCTTGCCCAGAAACAGAAGGACTCAAGTGACCCAAGACATCCTTTCCTCTGTTCCTATGTGATTTATTTTTGCTTGGAAAAAGTTGTGAATACTGAGTTGATTTCTCTTGCAATCTTGTTATCTAGAAGAAATTTCTTTCCAACTAGATTTCATAGATATTTGGTCTGGAAGGGACCCCAGAGGATCATTAAGTCCAGCCCCCTGCCCCAGGGGCAGGAAGTCAGCAGGGATCATAGGATCCCAGAAAGATAAGCATCCAAATGTGTCTTGAAGGCGTTCAAAGTGGGTGCTTGAACTGCCTCTGGCATCACTCTATTCCAAACCCTGGGGGCTTGGACAGTAAAGTTCTTTCTTATGTCCAGCCTGAATTGGTTGCAGCAGAGTTTGTGACCATTTGATCTTGTCATCCCTTGGGGCGCTCTGGTGAACAGACATTCCCCCAGATCTTGATGAGCATCCCTGATAAACTTATAGGCGGCCACCAGATCACTCCTGAGCCTGCGCTTTTCCAGGCTGAAGAGTCCCATGGCTCTCAGCCTCTCATCATAAGATCTGTTTTCATGACCTCTGATCATGTGCGTGGCTCTCCTCTGCACCCTCTCAAGCTTCTCCACATCCTTTTTGAATTGTGGAGCCCAAAACTGGATGCAGTACTCCAGCTGCGGCCTCACCAAGGCTGAGTACAATGGGAGAATGACATCACGGGATTTTCTTGAGAAGCATCTATGGATGCAAGCCAGCGTTTTGCTCGCTTTACTAGCCGCAGCATCACATTGAAGGGTCATGTTCATCTTGTGGTCAATCATGACCCCCAAGTCCCTTTCATCCATAGTGCTAACCAGTGTAGCACTGCCCAGCCTATAAGCATGCTGCAGGTTTTTCCTCCCAAGGTGGAGAACCTTGAATTTTTCGGTGTTCAACACCATCAGGTTCTCATCCGCCCATTTCACGAGCCTATCAAGATCTGCCTGGATCGCCCTTCTGTCCTCAGGTGTGGATGCTTTACCCCAGAGTTCGGTATCATCGGTAAACTTGGCCAGTCTGCTTCTAACACCAATGTCCACGTCATTGATGAAGTTGTTGAATAGTATAGGCCCTAGGACAGAGCCTTGAGGGACCCCACTGGTCACAGCGCACCACGACAAATGACTTCCATCAACCACCACCCTCTGGGTCCTACCGCAGAGCTAATTCCCCAGCCAGCAGACTGTGGTGAGGTCGAGGCCGCAGTTAGCCAGTTTAGCCAAGAGGTTATCATGGGATACCAGATCGAAGGCTTTTTTAAAGTCAAGATATACGTCAATCTCTTCTCCCTTGTCCAGGTGATAAGTCATCTGGTCATAAAAGGAAATGAGATTGGTCAAGCAAGACCTACCCACAACAAACCCATGCTGGGTATCCCTTCAGCTAGTCTGTTAAGGATGGCCTCTTTGATAATCTTTTCCAAGACCTTCCCCAGGACAGAGTTCAGGCTGATGGGCCTGTAGTTTGCCAGATCTACTTTCCTCCCTTTCTTGAAGATAGGCACAACATTGGCCCTCTTCCAATCTTCAGGCACTTCACCAGAGCACCACAAGTTCTTGAAGATCCATGCCTGGGGCTGAGCTATGATGCTAGCCAGCTCCTTGAGTACCATCGGGTGTAACCCGTCAGGGCTGACTGACTTGCTGAGTTGCTCCATGGTAACCTGCCTTTGATGTTTGAGCTGAAAGAGTTGTTTGAGTCACCGTAAGACTCTGACTGCTCGCACAATGCTTGTGACTTCACTCACAGGTTGGCATGTACAGCGTTAATTGAACAAACTGCACTAACATTGCCAGGCCCTGCAGCACCAATTTTCTCCTGTGGAGCTGACCTGCCAGACATTGACATCTACAGTCACTTGCTAAGGCAACAACTCTAAGGCTTATGAATCACTGAGCTTCTGGCTAGAAGCCTGATGGTAGCTCCCTGCTTGGTAGTGCCTGTTAAAAACATATGGCAAGACCCTTCTTAACATTGCCCACCTCATTAGCATGGGCTGTCACAGGGCTGCCATTTGAATGCTAGAGGGGAAAATGGCATGACTGGTGTTATTACGAACAAGCCAACACGAGGGGCAGTGAGATGGCATTCAAGGGGGCAAAATCTCCCCCTCTAAAAAATAACCACCCAAACAGCAAGGACACCAGGCCCTACCCAAGTCTTTCACCTCACTGGAGGATTTCTGCTCCATCCTCCTCAAGGGAAAAGAGACTGACTCCTAACTCAAGTCCCTGCCCAGGCCCTGCTCCTGCTTCAGGTGGGAGAGACTTCATGGGGGGGCTGTCACACTGAGCTGGGGGCAAGAATTTCTGGCGGGGGGCATATCCCAGCCTCCCCCTCTAACAGGTGCCAACATTTGCTTCTTGGGAGTCCTGGCCCAGCTTTTGCCCTGCAGGGACTATAGAGCTGCCAGCCCTCTCTCCCCGCACCAGGGCCGTGCCAGCTCTGAACACACTCAGGGCGCACGCGTGTCCCAGGGCCCGGTGGGCGCACCCCGGGTGTTCGGGCCCCAGGCGCGCAGGCTGCGCCTGGCAGGCGGCCGCTTTCCTGAGAAACTTGATCCTTGCGGTTCGCCGTTCGGGTCCCTGACAAACGCGAACCCCGCGCCCCGCCGTTCGCACAGTCGCTTGCAGCGCCGCCGCCATGTCCAGCCTCGCCAAGGCTGCCGGGGTCTTCAAGTCGGTGGATTATGAGGTGTTTGGCCGCGTGCAGGGTAGGTGCGAGGCTACGGGGGAAAAAGGGAGGTGGGAAGCGGCGACAGCGGTGCAAGAGAACTTTAAACATGGCGACGGCGCGGTGGGGAGGCGGGGGGGGAGAGAGAGAGAGACCAGCTAGTGCGCATGCGCAGGGTTGTGAACCCGGCCCTGGATGGGGCGGGAACTGTAGGAGCGAGTCTGAGCCTCTTCCTGCCCGTTCCCCTCCTCTTCTCTCTGGGGCTGGCGCCGCCGCCCCGCCCTTTGGCTGCCAGCGACGTCGCGCGTTCGAGACCCGCCCCCGCCAGCCAGGGTTTTTTTTGCCGGCCCAGCAACCTTTAATGGACTTCCCGCGTCCCTGTGTCACACTGCTGGGTCACAATTCTTGTAGTTGTGCTTCCCCTGCTGGAGAGGGGGGGCACCTGAGCCCTCCAGGATGCCCACCTGGCAGGTTATCAATGACACTCTGACCTTGGGGGGGTTTGCAACAAAAAATAAATTGGTTCATTGGAAGGGGGAATCCCATCGGAACCGGGCCCCCCTTACGATTTTCAAATCTTACAGGTGGGCTCTTGTCTCTTATGCAGGGGTTCAGCTCCCCATAATTTGCACTCTTCTGCCTTGGGTTTGGGGAGTATCTGAAGCCTTAGACATGGGAAGAAAGATATTTGCCCCCTGGTAGAATCATGCAGACTGGAGAACTGAGTTGTGCTCTCAAATTTTGGAGCTTGACTATTTGGCTTTGCCCATGGGATTTGGGACTGATTTGGTCTTGAACAAGATAAAAGAACCCCAAAACAAACAAACAGTTTGTGCCTTGCCTGCTGATGGGCTGTAGATCAGGTGTTTTGCCTGTTTTAGGCTGTTGGTGTAAAAAAAAGATAGCGGGGGCATGCCATCCTGCCTCTCCTGAACTTGCTACCTCCATCATGGCTGTCTAGGGCTGGTAACATGGGGCATCTGTACAGTGGAGAGAGGCTGCTCTGACACACCGTAATTACAGGGCATTGGGGCAAGTCTGCTGGAGTGTAGTAATGATTGCACTCCAGCAGACTCCAGTGTCTTGTGCATCTGTGTCCATGCACTGAAAAATGGCAGCAGGGCATTTTAACTGAAGCTTGTTAGACAAACTTTAGATAAAGCGTTTCCACTGCCATTTTTCAATGTGGGGATGCTGATACATGGAGATGCTCTGGGCACTTTAATTAGAGAGGCTCTTGAAGCCACTCTAATTAAAGCACTACCGTCCCCCCCGACCCCCCACAATGTCTTGAGCACTTGTATATATGCCCCAAGGGTAATTAAAAGTGCCTGAAGTCAGGAGGCCCATGTTGGTGCTCCATGGGGCAGACTTCGTTCACAGCTGTCAGCAGTAAGACCTGGGACTGTCTGCGGGAGACACCAAACAGCTGGGTGCACTTTACGATTAGGTTATTTTATGCCACCCCTCCCCCAAAGCCTGTGGAAAATATTGTGGAGGTTTGCATTATCTGAGGCCTGAAGCAGGTGGACTTCTCTTGTGGGTTTAAATGGTAGGAGCATGTCTGCAACAGTGCTGGACAAACAGCGTGGACATTCGGTGCTTAAATGAAACTAGCCTTTTCGTAAGCCGGCTGCTGAGTGCTAGGCCTCCTGTGTATTTGTGTTGTATGGAAAGAATAATGCCGTGTTAGTGAGGAAGGGCTGCCTGCTTACTCAGAGTTTTGGAATATGCGTCTGTAGCAAGTGCCCATCCCAGGGGTGGTCACGATGCTCCTGGTGGCTGCTCAGCCCTTGCCAACCTGACTCCCCTTGGTGGCCTCTCCCTTTTACTTACTTACCATGCCTTGATGTTATTAATTTCTGATCAAAGGGAGGCTGCCCTAGGGCTTCCCGACCCTGGTCTTGCTCGTAGGACCACAGATGCCCGTGGCCGTTGCCTTAAGGGATAGTTTCATGGGCTCCATCCTCATCAATAGCAGATCACTGGCGAGTCATGAGTGGGTAAGACAAATCTGCTCTCTGACAGACCCCAGACACTGGAGCTTTTCTCAACACACCCTAGTCCCCAATGGGCACTGGACCCTCCTAGTTCCCCTCTCCCTACACTGGACCCTTTCCCAAGTACCTAGTCCTTCCTAGGCTTATGTTTACTTTCTCTCTATCTCTGGGCCCCAGGCCTATCTCTTCCAAGGCCTGCTGTGGCCCCCATGCTCTGCCCCTCAATGGGCTCAGGCTCTCTGTCTCTGGGCCCCAGGCCTTTTATTCTTCTGGTCTCTTTCTCAGTCTACCAGTTGAGACCTTCCCTTCAATCCATTCCGCAACCACCAGAGCTGTTCACCACCAGCCCTCTCAGACCATTGCCCCTGTCCATTCCAAGGCCTGCTTTACCCCTCGTGGGCTCTGCTGTTTTCACTAGCTGGACTTTGGGCCCCCCTGGCCCTCCATTCTCTGTCATCCTTGTTCAAGTGATGGATTCACCCGCTCCTGTTCTAAGGCCTAGCCTGTTCTTGGGCTTGGTGCTGCTTTCCCCAGCTCAGCTGTTAAGGCTGGAGATCTACTCCTTGTGGCTCCCAGGGCTAGACTGCTTGACCAGCTCAGGCCCTGGGCTTATGTGGCTTAAGCTTGGGTCCTTAGTCAACTGACTCTTTCATTAGCCTCGGCCAGACCTGCAGGCTGCTCCTCAGGTAGCCTCTCCTCTTCAAGTGACAGGTGCACCAAGTGCCCTGTCACAGTCTCCAAATGTTACTTGGATCTGTAGGAGAAACCTGAGTCAAAATTTCCTGAAGAAAAAAAACACAACAGAAAAACAACAGCTTCTGCTTATACCCTTCACAAACAAGAAACCACATTATCTGGAAAAAACATGCATTAGACTTGCCACCAGTAAAAAGGGATGTGCAGGGTTCCCCTCTCCCCACACTGGACCCTTTCCCAAGTACCTAGTCCTTCCTAGCCTTATGTTTACTTTCTCTCTATCTCTGGGCCCCAGGCCTATCTCTTCCAAGGCCTGCTGTGGGGGTGGGGGCTGAACCCCCTCATAATAGATGACAGCCCCCCTGTAAGACTTGAGAATCAGAACCTGGGGGAGGGGGTCTCTGATTTTATTAGGGTATCGTGATGGGCAGCCCAATCATTTTTGCAGACCCCTGCGAGAGTCAAAGTGTAATTTGAACCGTGGGGATGTGACACCAATACTTTCCATAGAAATATAACTGTATATACCAGTGGTGCCCAACCTTTTTCCCCAGTGAACTGGATGGTTAGTGCCTGGTTTGTCTGTGGGCTGCATCTGGCCAGTGGCCCTGATCTGCTTCCCAGGGTGGGTGCTGTGGGGCCCTATCTAGCCACGCGTGGGTGCTGGGACAGCAGTGCAGATCTGATCCAGCCATGCGGGGGAAGGGGGCATGGCCGAGCCCTGATTCATCTGCATGGGTGGGGAAGGGAGCATGGTCTGGCCCTGACTGAGCTGTGTTGGGGGAAAGGAGACATGGCCCAGCCCCCATCTGGCTCTGTGTAGGGACGGGGTATCAAAACCTGGCAGCGGGGGTGGTGTAACAGTATTAATTTCCTGACCTGTGGGGAGCCCCGCAGCAGTGGCTCCGTGGGCTGTATTTGGCCCATGGGCTGGAGGCTGAGCACCTCAGTATATACCAGTGTTGAGTATTTTTGGTAGTGTTTGGCTGGATGGTGTGATGGGAAGCTGCTGAGTCATATCCGTGCGAATGGCGTGAAAAGGATTAAAAATATATACTTGCTGACATCTGAATGACATGCATTGCTTTTACTAGACAGTGCCTAACACAATATTGGCCTTATTATTGGGTATGGTCCTAAGCATTATTTTAATGCAGATGATGAATACAAATGCATTCTTTTTCCCTGTTTAAAAAATCCCTTGTGTATCCTGCATTTGTAAGGCTTTAAGCAGTGACGTTGTGGAGGTGGAGACTGTTCAAACAGGGTTTCTGTGGTTTTCTAATAAACCATGTAAATAAGGTGCTCCGCATAGTCTACTTATGTGATAATCTCTCATAAATAATTACCTACCTTTTTCATTGGGAGTGCTCTATGGAGGTGCTAAAATGTGGAAAATATATTTTTAATATATCACCTATTTCATACTTGACCCTGGTGATATTTTGCAGTGGTTCTCAAACTTTTTAAATACAAGACTCCTCTGTTAGACTGAAAACACCCCTTAGAACATGTCAGCTCTTAGCTTCTGTGTATTTTTTTTGGACTGTGGAAAAATAATAGAGCAATTCTTCTATTGCTAATGACACAGAAAGATTACAACAGGTCAGAATGTTTTTGACATTATGGATTTCTGTGTGCACACCTAACAGTACTATTATGGAGCACCCTGGGGCACTGCTCTAAAGATAGTTTTATGCAGACTCTAGCTATTATTTCCTTAGCAGGAGAAGATGGAACTCTCTTATCTTCTATGATTTTTTTGATTCTTGAGGACAGTAGAAGAGGGCCAGAGGGGGAGCAAATGCCTTTATATGAATTCTGAATATTCCACTTTGGTATTTTTTCAATTGCACTGGAAGCAGGGTTCCTCAAAAGAAAAGCTAATTCAGGATATATGATGTAGGTTTTTTGTTCTGTTTTAAACAAGAATTAAAACTTGAAGCTGTAATGGAGTTCTGAGGGATTGTACTTACAGAATAAGGCTAAGGCTTAAAATGGTTTGCTGGGATAACTAACCCAGCAGCCTCTTGGTAGGGATGCAGTTTATACCAGTGAAAGCATCCTTTTGTCAGTATAGCTTTACCCACTTTCCCTAGTGGAATACACTGTTCTAGGCAAAAGGAATATTTTTGCTGGTCTAACTGTTTTATTTTAGGGAGTTTGTCAATGTAGCTATATCTGTAAGGAATGCAAAAAATCCGGGGTGACACGTAGGGGGTGCACGCAGGTGCATGTGCACCCCTGGAGTGTGACGACGCACCCCCTACAAAAAGGTGCCACTGACACTGTCAGCAGCGCCTGCAGGCAGTTGCTGCTCGCCACCCCCCATCCTCCCGCTGCCCAACAGTGCTGGTGGCGTCTGCGAGAGCTCCCCCGCTTACTGCCATTGCGCTCCTGCCACCACACTCCCACTGCCGCTGTGCCCCTACAGCCACCAGGGCAATGTGTCAAAATTTTATGTGCAAAAAATTAACTACCAGAAGAACTTTTAATTGTAGACCACGCTTTTAGAATAAGAATCCTGTAGAAGGATGTCATCAGAGAAATTTAATTATAGGTAAGTAATTTTCTTTATTTGCTCAAACTAAGTCTTTAGGGTCAATATATATATGTGTATATATATATAATGTGTTAAACTAAGTCTTTAGGGTGTGTGTACACACACACACACACACACACACACACACACGTATGTATTTCTCCCCTCCTCTTCCTTCCCTTCCTCCCTTACTGACCCCTAAGGAATTATTTTTTTTTATGTTTTAGAAGTGTAATAATTGGGTGTAATCACTTTTAAAAGTTCCACAGTAAAAGAGCATAGCAAATCTCTGTTGCATGGTTAACTGAAACAAAAATTGGGTAGAGCTGTGAGGAGTAGTGTTCATTCTTTCAATTGAGTTAGACTTATTTTTCTTTTAATTCTTTTTTAGGTGTTTGTTTCAGAATGGTAAGGCAGCAAGCAGTGTACCAGTTCTGCTTTACTACAGTATAATATTTCCAGTGCTAAAAATACAGCAAGAGGCCTCTATTAATGTACACAGGCATCCATCCAGTTGGCATTTCCAGTTTTCAGTCCATAGTTGGACAGTTAAGTATTGCGTGTTTTTTAAAATTAGAGATCCTTTTTATAATTGGTATATAATTATCCTACTATTAAAATAGACTTTCTTTTTTTATATAGATGTTAATTGTGATAGTACCTAGAAACTTTAACTGGGATTGCCAGCATGTACACATGCAGTGTTTAAATGTCACAAATGTCTGATAATGTGTTGACCTTGGGGGAAAATGTTAGTTTTGGAGTTCTGATATAAGCTTCTGAAGCAATATGTGCTCTCATTATATTGCTAGAAGGAAATGCAAGTACTGTTTTACATACTTTAGAGAATTTAAGAGAATCATCCCAGCGCTTCAGCGTTTTCATCCCCCCCGATGAATAATAACTGATAATTGTAGGATGTGAAGTGTTGATCTCTGTACCCAGCCAAGCTTCTCTACTAGTGCAGAACTTGCAGCAGGAACATTACAACTCAAAGATGGACAGAAAACTAAGAAACAAGAGAACACATGCACCACACAATGGCAATAGCTAAAATACTGTATTTTCTGAAGATATCGACCTAAAATATTTGGCTTAAAACTTTTCAATAAATTTATTGTGAAATAGATTATGATAGAAATGAGGGAAAGACTTAACGTATAATGGATATGTGAAGTATAGATTATTATTTGCTCTACCCCGTCATCCATAGGCTACAGAAGGTGCTTAGGCAGGAGGTCACTTCCTGTTATCACTTCTTATATAATAGTCTCCTATGCTGAGTTGCCATTCTAACTGCATGCTATTACTTTGCTTCAAATTACTAGTAGCTTGCAAGTTGGAGGTGCACCTATTTGTGTAAGTGAGAGTAGTCTATCATTCCATGCCTATTTTAAATTTAAGTGTATAGAAGTAAGTATGGAGGTTTTTGTATAAGGAAACAAAAACAAATGTCTCACACACTTCAGCCAATCGATCAGCAGCAGGTGAATATAACCAAATAGATAATTCAAATTGCTTCTTATGGATGCAGCAGAACACTAAACCATGGAGATTGTGTTTATAGTGTCTAAACAGGAACTGTTCTTCAGTATGCTAATTTGTGCTGGCAGCCTTTTTTGCACGTGAGTAGACCAAGTGTTTTAAATGTAATGCATATAAAGTCTTTTGAATGGTAGTCTTATTCTGCTATATATACTGCCCTTGAATTTATCTTTTAGCATCTTGGGAAAGGTGTAAGACAGGTGGGCAATTACGTCGGGCAAAGGGCCGCTTACCCATTTGGCAAGCTGTCGAGGGCCTCATGGGTAGCCCCGCCCCTTGACAGGTGCCCTGCCCCCGGTGAACATCTTGGGACCAATGTCTTTATGTCTTGGGACCAATGTCCTAGGGCCAGCACCAGCAGGACCCAGAGCAGGGCGCAGGCTGGCAGGGGTCTGTGGAGCCAGACTGGATTGCACCAGCAGGAAGAGGAGGGAGCTGGCTCAGCTTCATAGAGCCCCTGCAGGCTGGGACCCTGTACCCCTGCCGCCCTGCTCTGGGCCCTGCTAGCACTGGCCCTGGGACACCGGTGCGCACCTGCTCACTCCCAGTGCCACTCCAGCCCTGCAGTACAGGTAGGGGGCAGTGCACAGCCCCAACCCCCTGCTCATCAGCAGGGAAGGAGCTGGTGTGGAGCACAGGGAAAAGCAGCCCCTCACCCGCCCCACGACCGGCGCTCCCTTCTGCAGCTGCTTGCAGCCCACATGGGGCTGTCCTGAGCAGGCACAGGCAGTCCCATGCAAGCTGCATGCGGCTGCAGCTTGGGGTGCTGGCCATGGGGCAGGCGAAGGGCCACTTTTCTCCGCTCAACACCAGCTTGTAACCCGCCCCTGCTGCCCAGCTGGGCCTCGGGCTGGCTCTGGGCTCGCCCGTTGGGGCTGCGCCATGGTGGCTCCCTGCACTGGCCGTGCTGGGCAGTGTTTGCTGCAGCTGCCCGCCCGGAGCTCGCGCACTGGACAGCACAGCCTCACCACAGCCTACTGCGGTGCGAACTCTGGGCAGGCAGCAGCAGCAAACGCTGCCCAGCACAGCAAGCAGGGGGGCTGCCCCAGTGCAGCCCTAATGGGCGCACCCAGAGCCGGTGTGGGGCCAGGTTACAAGCTGGTGTTGAGCATAGGAAGTGACCCTTCGCCCACCCCGTGGCCGGCACCCTGCACTTCAGTCGCTCACAGCCCATGTGGGGCTGCCTGTGCCTGCTCTGGACAGCCCTATGCAGGTTGCGAGCACCTGCAGCAGGGAGTGCTGGCTATGGGGTGGGGGAGGGGTGCTTTTCCTTGCGCTCTACACCAGCTCCTTCCCTGCCCTTTGTCCCCCACTTACCTAAGCTTCCCACGCTGGGGCAGCCACGTGGTCCCAGGCCAGAAGCCCCTGCTGGCGTTTCCAGCTAGCGGGGCAGGGCTGGGTGGGCCCTGCTATTGCAGGAACCCGCCAAGGATTCCCTTGGGTCCTACTGCCCCTAGTTCCTGTCATTTGCGACAGAAACCAAGGACAGATACATTTTAATTTTCAAAAATTTGTTTAGGGGCCCCATGGGCCAGATAGAATGGCCTCATAGGCCGTATTTTGCCCACCCCAGTTTAAGATTTTATCAGGGTATGTGCATATGTGGCTTCTGTGCATGGTATTGCAGTACTTGGGTAGACTGTAAAAAATGAGAGAAACCTCTTAAACAGATCAATTTAAAACTTAATTAAAGTTTATTTTTTTGGCCATGAGTCTATTTAATGCTCTGCAATGTAACTTATAAACCTGAGATACCTATTAGATACAATCTTTTCTAAATTGGTCAAAAAGAAACAGAATAAATAAGGTACCTATGATCCAAATAAGAACTTATATATGAGAAATAGTGCCTTGAATTGGATACTTCAGTTTGTGTTTGGGTGGAATAATTCTTTAATTAATTTCTGAGACAAACTTTCTGTTCTCTGTGGTATCTATAAAATTATGTATGACTTTCTTATTATGAAGACACATATTTTAGAATGGTGAATTTTAAGTAGAGATTACACTGAAGTGTCTAAATTCAGCACAAGAAATAAATGGGAAACTGCCAGCATGCCTTATTGTGATTCTGTAAGAAGAGCCATATGCAAGAACAGAACAATTAACTGGATTTCAAGCTCTTTTATTGAGACTAGTAGTTTGTACTACTGTAGAACCTGGGAGCCCTCGTCATGGACAAGGACCCCATTGTGATAGGTGCTGTATACACACAGAACAAAAAAAGATCCTTGCCCTAAAGGCCTTCCGATCTAACTGTAAAATGGATTAGAGGTGGATGGAGGGTTACGTGTTAAGTGAGATCATATTGTTGAGCATGATAGTAGTTTTGTCATATCAGTGGCCTAACTTAAACACAGAAGAGATGAGCTTTAAAGAGCAATTTGAAGTATAAAAATGACATAACTGCAGATATTTATGGGGAGCGGCTTCCAAGAATCTTGAACAGCATGGATGAAAATTTGAAGGTGTTTGAAAAGTTATCAGGTGAACACTGCAGACATGCTTCTTGAGCTGATTGAGGATGGAGTCAATTACTTCATAGCGAATAAGAGATTACAGTTGTGGAGGTTTTTGACAAAGTGAAGACAAGAAGCTATTCATCTCATGATCCAGAAAGGGGGAGGGATGCAGAAAGAGAGGTACCAGTCAAAGTGATGAGCAAAGGAAATGGTCTTTGCAGCAGCATTCTAAATGGAACTGTTCATTTGGGACAAGATTAGATTTTTCAAGGCCAGAGAAAAGGATGTTGCAGTAGCTGAGAGAAAAGCTTCTGTGAGAGTCTGGATAAGAGTTTTAGTTTTCTGGATAGAAGGAAGGAGGGCTCTGTCTCTTTGAGACGTTATGCTGAAAAAAACTGCAATATTAGTTTGGATATGAAGGCCTAGAGACTCATCCGAGCCAATGATGATGCCCAAGGTATAGGCCTGTGAGATGGGCAGGATGGTGATGGCCACAGTCACTGAGAAAAGAACTGATGGAGAGGGATTGGGGAGCAATTAAGACCTCTCTATTAGCCTTGTTGAAGACCTCTCTATAAGACCTCTCTATTAGCTAGCTATCCACAAAGGAATGCCAGAGAAGGAGTCTGAGATTTAATTCGGCCAGAAGAATTGTCTGGGAACGAGTATCTAGTCACGGGATTTTGTTAAGTCATGGAATGAGATTCAGGACTAGTGTATAAAGGATTGACAAAATGACTCGTTTGATGAATGACAGAAAGGCTTTATTTACTACAGGTGATCACTTTAAATGAGCCTATAGCAAAGCAAAGTCTATTTATCTGTAAAAGTGATAGTATCTCACCAATACCGGCAAAGAGGCAGTCTCAGTCTTGTCAGCTTCTCAAGGTATGGATTTGTTCACCAGAAAAAAAAAAAAAAAAAAAAAAAAAAAAAAAAAAAAAAAAAAAATCAGCTGGGCGCAGTAGCAGCTTTTGTTAGAATGATTTCTCATTCTTGATGCGCGCCCTGTTAGTTGCTTCATTCCTCTTTTACATCCTTCAACTTAGCATCTTCAAAGCATTCTTGTAGTTGTGTAAATCAAGAGAGCATCCAGAGCAATAAATAACAGGAAAATCCTGTTAATCAAACTATTCATTATTGGTTATCAGAAAGTCCCAATTTTGATTGAATTACCTTCCTAAGTAACAAGAGGCTATCAATTTCTATTAAGTTGGAACCTATCAAGGAATTGATTAACAACCAGGAAAAACCTAAGGTTTTTGAGGAGTCATCCTTCGAAGATCAAGGGAACCACTGAGTTAAAACGAGTAAATCAAAGCCCATATGGAAAATGTCTCTACACACAAACATGAGTTAATTGCAAATAAATATTTACTATACTAATTAATCAAGGATAAATATTTCACAGTTACATACCAGATGAAGGAGCCCGTTTAAAATCATCATATATTAAGATAAGCTGGAAGTGATGCTTCATTATTTCTTTTCAGAAGGTCCAGCCGCAAACTTACATCCTTTTGCACTGTGCAGTTGTCATCAATATTTTATATTTTAACTTTTGTGAGTAGGCCTAGTTCAGATTGAGTTTCACAGTCATTATATTTTACTGCATATGAATAGAAATGGATGTTTGGAGTGAACCAGGGCTGGGAGCTAGGTAGATGAACATTGAGGTGGAAGAGAATGAAATATGGTGAGTATCTACAGGCATACATCAACAAAAGAAGGATGAGAGCAAATAATAAGTTCACAGTACTGATGGACTAGAAGTCTCTGTGTCCCAGGGGGATGGAAACAGGGGCACAAGAGACCCCTCCACGACGGGACCTGGGATGGAGACAGCCCATCCCTGCAAGAAAAGCCCTGAAGCCAGGGCGAACTTACCTATTTCAAGCTGGGAAGAGACGGGCGAGCCATGTTGGCACGGAGCACCCGCTAGGTTTTTGAGCCGTGTTTATCTCCAGTTAAAAGCAACGTGGGCGGATGCCGTCATCCCATGATGCCACCGGGACAAAATAAAAGCCGGCTCCAAGAAGACAGCAGGAGAGGCACTGCTGGGAGCAAGCAGCAGAAGTGCTTCCCGTGCTGGGCATAGGCGGTGCCGACAACTTTCAAGAGATCTGGGGATGGACCCATTGGGGGGGGTCCACATTGAGGGACTGCAAGAGCCACAAATGCCAGGACAGTGAGTGGGGATGGGCCAAAGCCCTACCTCCTTATCCTTTCTGTTAATTTCTTCTTTTTCTTTTACTTTGGGGGATTGCCTGGAAGGAACCCGACATGAGGGTCAGAGATACAGGCAGCGCTCCAGGGTTAGGAGTGGCCGGGATAGCACAGCAGGCAGCTGAGCTATAATGAAAGACCCGGTGGAAGAGCAAGGATGGCTTAACGTCCCAAAGAGACGTAGGGCTGGGAGAGGTCATCTGTAGCCCAGCCAATGAGGAGAGAACAGGAGTTGACACCAGAGGGTGAGCCATCCAACCGTCAAGTGGCCATCCTAGAGGCTGGCGCATGGATGGGGTGTAGGGGAGGTGGAGCCCCACGGATACCCACCAGGGAGTGCGACCAATCCAAGAGGGACCACAGGAGGGGGCACCACCACTGAAAGGAAGATCAAAGTCGTAGCAGGAAAGTTTCTGGGTTTCCCCCAGGGAAATCGTGGGCCCTCTCCGAGACCACTGGAACAAATGCAGCGGCCAATCCCTGGTATGCACTCCAAAGTGGCATGAGAGCACCTCCTCAAGACGAGGCGGGCACACACTGAAAGGCCAAGCAACAGGAAGGAGGGAGCTGAAAGTAACCAGGTAATGGTGATAGAGAGAGAACACAACAGTAGACAGATTAGAGAGCAAGCAGTGCTTGATGAAGGCCAAGTAAAGTGAAGGGCCCTTTTTTTGAATGGGAGTATCGAACAAGGAGTGCAGGTCAGTAAAGAGGCTAGGGTGAGCAAACATGCAGCTAAACAGTATTAACAGGTTCATCACTGAGGATGAGCTTGCAAGGTGTGGGGGAGAGATCTGGAGACCAAATCAAAGAGGAAGGCTGATGAGGAAGAGATGGGTTAACAGTAAGTGACTGTCACGGCGGGGTCCGACAGGAGGGCCGTGATCTCCCCGAAGTCCCTTGCTCCGTGTCAAGGCCGGCCCAAGGCACCCTCTAATTCTCGCCCGCCACGTCTTGTTGGAATTATATATATAAGTTGGGAGGCTGCCTATGACTCCCTGGGCACGGCTACTCGGGACCTCTGTCCCCACGGTTCTCAGACCCCTGGGGGTCTCCCGGTATAATGGGTGCTCCTCAGGCACCCTAGCCTTATGGGCTATGCGTGGCTACTACCAGCCCCTAATACCACGCCCCAAGCCTCACTGATGTAATAGACGTTGGTGTGTCTGCACGCCCGCTTCCCGGGCTCTCTCTACAATGGCGCTCCCCCTCTTCGGGGCTCGCTGTGCCCACCTCGGGCTTTTCAATAAACCAACATGGCACTCCCCCTCTTTGGGGCTTGCCGTGCCCGCCTCGGGCTTCTCAATACTGCCCCCACCTGGGGCTGGGGTCTACATACCCCGCATACAACCAGGGGTCTGTTCCCTGCCCGCAACGCACTGGTTGCGCTCAGGGGCCCCCACACCTCTGGGGTCCCTATGAGGCCTCCTCCAACCCCTACAGCCTCACCCAAGCCTCCGGTGTCATATCAAAGCCAAACAAACTCGAGCCTCCTGGCTATAACGCAAACATAAAGCCTCCTGGCTAAACCATAGTGCCCAATCCTCTCAGGGCTATAGTGAGCTGTACGGGTCTGTTCCCCGCCCGCAACCCACTGGTTGCGCTCAGGGGCCCCACACCTCTGGGGTCCCTATGAGGTTCAGCCGCTCTTCCTTGAGCTTAGCTGACCCCACAACTCTGCCCTGCAACTCTCAGGGCCTAGTGCACCCGCAGTGGCGCCAGGGGCCCCACTTTACCGTGAGCCCCCGCTATGAGGCCTCCTCCAACCCCTACAGCCTCACCCAAACCTCCAGTCTAATATGTAAGCCGAACATAAACTAGAGCCTCCTGGCTAAACCATGGTGCCCAAACCTCTCAGAGCTGCCACCCTTCTCTCAGCTAGAGCAGTTCCTGCATCGCTCACCTCTTAGCTCCTGCCTCTCCAGTTGCTGGCAGAGAACTGCCAGCCTGGTCTCAGCCCTGGGCTTTATAAGGGCCAGGCCCTGCCTCCTACAGGCAGCTGGCTCTCCTTAGTTGCCCCGGCAACCCGCAGCTGTGCCCGTTACCCTGGCAACCCTCATCTGGGCTTGTTATGTCCTGCCAGGGCTCTCTCTCCCTGGCAGTTTCTACTCCCTAGGAGCAGAGCACCGAGGTGCTCTGCGACAATGACATTGTGTGGATGGATGTGAAGGGGGATAGAAGGAAGAGTCAGACTGTTCAGAAGAGGAAAAAGAGGTGACAATAGAGAAATGGGCTGCAAAGAGCAGAAAAGGAAGGAGAAAACCAACCTCCTCACCATATCTAATGCAGAGAGGGAAATATAAGAGAATAGAGGATAGGTTGATGTAAAAGGGGGCAGCTCCAGAGGCACTTTCATATGAAGGAATCCTTTAGAGAGCTGGGAACTACAGGGAGTAAGGTGTAAAGGGGTAAACTGGGAACTACAGGGAGTAAGGAGTAAAGAAGTCTTTAATTGCTGGTACAGTCTTCTCTTCTTTAAATGAAGTGGTTTTGTTTTTTATTCTTTGCTCATTTCTGGAGAGAATTTGCTAGTTATTTTGACATTTGGTTTGCTTGAAGATGGAATGTCATAGCTCCTTTAAAGATAGCGGGTCCAGAAGTGCCTTTCCAAAAGAAACTTGTTTTTTTCTAACCCCCAGGTGCCACACATGAAGGTTTTGTAGCCATTTCTTAGAACTGAATTGTCTGGGGTGATGGAGCCACACCCTTGACCTCTGCATGAATAATATAGGCTGAAAATTCTTTACACAGAAAAAGTAGGTCTTTTCGTCCCTCCCCCCAAATGAAGCTCTTACATTACAAAAGTTTTAAATGTAAGAGAAAACCATCAGAAAGAAGTTATCCTGCTACTTGCATTATTGCAACAGTATAGCCAGTAAAGAAAAATGTCATAATATACTGATTACATGCTTTCATGTTTAAAAACTAGCTGATTCTGCATGTTCAAAACTAGCAGGAAAAATATGGCATCCTGCAAAAAGAGTAGGTCTTAAGCAAACTGTGAAAATTAAACTTCAGTCTTAAATATCTTGTGTACATTTTCTGTATGCTAACTGTGGGTACTGAATATGCTGGTGACTTTTTGTCTTTTTTCCCCCAATTCAGTACACGGAAGATGAAGCAAGAAAATTAGGAGTAGTTGGCTGGGTTAAAAATACCAGACAAGGAACAGTGACTGGCCAAGTTCAGGGCCCAGAAGATAAAGTAAATGCAATGTAAGTACTTCAGTGCCAGTGTGTGTTAACCTTAGTTATCTGTTAAGTTTGTGGTGGGGAGGGGGGTTGAGAAACAATTTAAAAGATACTTTTTTGTATATCAATAACATATTGCTGTAGTAATAAATTAATGTTTACAAAACTTGTCACTGATGCTTTAAGCAACAGTTTGCCTTTTGGTGTGTGGGAAAACTGCAAGGGTAGCAAGCAGGAATATTCAAAGAACAGAAAGCAGAGAAGAGACTACATTATAACAAAACACAAATGAAAGGATGCTCTGATAGAGACAAAAATTAACAGGAAGTGGAAGTAGCAATATCAGGAAAATATGGCTAGCTGTGCCAGGGTATAGAATGAGTGTAAATGGTGTTTCTGGTAGCAAAGATTTTCTGTCACACTGTCCTAAAAGGGGTGGATTTCTATCTAGCTAGGAACCATGGTTGTTATGGAGCAATCTCTTTCACAGAGTTTCTGTACCCTAGTGCTGTAAATTACATCATTTTCTAGCAAGATGGCAACCACCAGCACCAGTTGACACAAGGTAATTAATTTTAGTTCATAACTGTATTAGTTCCGCAGGTAACGGATTTAAATTCTGAAGAATGGCTGTGGCTTTGTACTACCCTGTATTGTATCAGCTGCTGTAGGGCTTTTTTCTATAGAAAACAGCCATGCGTGTGTGCTTCTTATTTTCCATATACATGAAACTTACCACAAAATATTTCTAGTCAATTGAACATTTTGGGTAGATAGTTTCCTTTCAGGGTGCCACCTGATTAAGTTTTTTGGAGTTTTTTTTGCTTATTCCAGAATTGAGAGCGTCTTAAATATGAGGCTTTATTTCTTAGTTTATTCTCCCTTTGGGGTCATCCTACATGCAGTCATACATCTGTATTTTATCTAATTTTTTTGCAAGACATTCACATCATTGAAACATAAATTTTGTGTGAAGACTGCTGGTAAACACTTAACAGCAGGAGTAATGTCAAACTTAAAAAAAAATCACAGTGCAGACCTGCTAGGATCTTATAAACATCAGGTGTACAGCTCTTCATGGTTGATGCTGTAACTTGTTTTTCTTATGATGAGGTTTTATAGAAGTCTAATAGTTTATGATTTTATGTACTTTGTCTTCTGTAGAAGAAAAGTTATCCTAAGAAACATCACAGGCCTAGGGCTTATACCATAAGCTTATAGCTGTATAAGTCATGCATCAGGACTAGAGGTTCAGTTTTAGATTGTATATGTATTCATTGTTGTTGGTATTTTAATGGTGAGAGAATTGCAGTAAAAAAATTTGTAAAAACCACAGATTTTTTTGGTTTTTAAACATAAAATACAAAGGAGCTACTTTAGTAGATTGTAATTGTATGCCTAGGGAACTGTATTTTTAATTGTTTTATGTGTTCTAAGAATCATGAATTTTCAGATGAAAACAGTATCAAGCCTTTAGCCATTGCAAATGTATTTTTAACTATTTGAAATAGATTTGTAGAACAATACTCTAAGGAACTTTCTAGAATTCATGTTCAACTTTTATTTAAATAATTTTAAACAGAAATATTTTAATACCAAATATCTGATAAGAGGTTGAAACATATATGGCTTTCAAAAAGACAGTCTCTGCCATCAGGAAATGAAAATATAAAAATGCTATGATAGATTTAAAAACTAGGGTGTGGTTTGCTTTGTACTCCTGGAAATATGAAATATGGCAAGGGCCATATCTATGAGGAGGGGCTGCCTGGAAACAGCTCAGTTGTTCCCAGGCCAACTTTCAAGTGTATTTTGTAGGGTTTGGGTGGGTGGGTATGTGTTTCTCTTTCAGTGTATCATTTGCTCAGTAAGGATGACTGGTGAAAGCTTTCCTTTGCCAACTGCATTATGTGTAATTACTTTTGGATGCAGATTCTGCCAACATTTTCTTTTATAGGAATAGTTTCATAAACACCGTTTTATTAAAGTGAAGTCCTATTTTTGCAATATAAAGAAAAAAATGTTGCATTTCCTGATAGATCATTTTAAAATTGCACCTGGAGTGGTTAACAAATGGGTATCTGAACTAGTAGGCCTGTGCGAAGTGCTTAGCATTCGCTTCAGATTCGGCCGATTTGGGAGACAGTGATTTGATTTGGTGATTCGAATCACTGTCCTGAATCGATTTGGCTGAATCTGATTCAGAGATTCAGCCTTTGCCAAATCAACCAAATGTCCAAATTGAACAGGCCCCATCCCCTGCCCGCACTCCCAACCCCATCAATGGCTGCCCCCACCCAGCCCCAGTGTCCCCGCTTTAAAAAAAAAAAAAAAAACCCGGCACCCCCTGCCTCCCGCCGGGGGGGGG